AGAACCTGAAATCCACATACAAAACAAATACACATGCTGATCTGACAACAAGACCCGGTAAACATTTATTCTTACAACCTGTTGAAAAGAAAAAAATCAACTGACCCGACATTTCACCCTCATTCCCTCCATGTACTTTTTTTCTGGGTTTTTCAGGATGATGTCTGAGAGGTGCGTCCGAGGCACCAGGCCTTTCACATGTTCTGACAAATGTACCACCATCCCATGACCCAGCAGCACTGACACAGTCCCCTTGGAGGAAGACAGAGGCAGGAAGAGTCATAAGGAGACTGATTTAATTTGTGACTTTAAAGGAAAAAAAAGGGTAGAATCTCACCTCTACAACTTGGCCAGTGTGAATATCCTGGTATTTGTAGAACTGTTGATCAATCACACTTCTGCAATCAAAACACAGAATGAATTGGTTAGATTCATTAGAAAAGGAAGAAGAAAAAAAAGAAAAGGGACCTATACATACTTCCGTAAACTAGCAAAATAAATCTGATCCATGGGGCTGAAGTCCAGGATCCTGCAGGTAAGGTCCGACATGGTAGACATCTTGTTGTCATTAGCTGGGTCTTTGGATTCCTTCAGGTGGTTCCTCTGTCCAGACAGATGATGGGAGTGATGTCAGAGTCAGGTTCTTCACAACAGATCCCTAAACCATCAGCTTTACTTACATGGACAAAGGCAGAGGTTTTGTCCGGCAGCTCCAACAAGGCCCCTGACAGATGGTGCATCTTGGAAACCTTGCAGTCTTTCACCACTTCACCGATTCGGTGAGAGCCAGGAGGTGCGAGGTCAATGTCGGAGCCGGGCTGTAGCAGGTAGCTGCGCAGGCTCAGTCCAACAAGGCGGGTGGTCAGCTCAATGTACAGTACACATGCTCGCACCTGGTTCATACGGGGGACCAAACAATGGCATTAATGGGAGGAAGGAGGGAGGGAGGGAAGTTTTTGTTTATGAAGTTCATTTTTTGGAAAATCTGGAATATATTTTTATCCAACAGTCCATAGCTCAGACTGACATCAGGTCATCACTTTGTTCTTAGATATCTACTTATTAGTGATGAATTACCTCACTATGTAATATCACTAAGTAATAAAATTTAGTCTGTTATATCTTCATTGCTTGTTATGAAAAATGCACGTAAAGCAATCCCTTCAATTTGGAGGCCTTTTAAATTAAGGCCACCTCCCACAGGGGCTGATTGAAATAAGTTCGTTTTTTTAAAGTAATGCATGTAATTTGTCATTTTTTATACCAAACGTAAGGACAAAAAAATGTATTGATTAATCCAATTTGGTTGAGAAAAAAAACAAAAGAAGAAAAAAACCCAAACATCGTCATATTAGATTTAAAATAGACATTTAAATAATCAGAACATTATGTCTCTATGGACACATTTTCCTGTTATATTTGACATCTAGATATAATTGTTAGATTCATCTGTAATGAGGCACATTGATTTAGATTTGTTAGTTTAGATTTGTTGGACTCCCTAATGAGTAAACTATCAGTATCAAATGATTCAAACAAAAGGCTTAATTATGTTTAAATGTAATAGAATGCTATTTTATGCAGCTGAGCCTGCAGAATAGATGTAAACCAGTTTTACCTGAAGCCCCTCTGCATAGCTTGACGACTCCTTTGGCTCCATGTGAAGAAAGTCCACCTGACCGCTAAAGGAGGACAGGAAGTCCAGGTGGAAGCCATGTTTGGTCACCTAGGACCCCAAATGAGTAGATTTTATTTAAAGGAGGATCAGAGTAAAACGCATCGAGTATAAAATGAAAGAAAGCCTTCATCACCTTCTTGATGGTGGCTTTGACCGTGAGGCCCGGCAGGAGGTTGGTGAGATTCCAGCCATGCTTTGCGTCAGCACAGGCCCGAGCTACCGTGGACGGATCAGAGGACAGCTTGACGACACGACCGTCGTTCTTTACTTCCTCTACCCGAGAAGTCAAATACTGACCCACTTTCAGCTCTGCACACATGGAGAAAACACAGACAAACCTGATTACTGACGAGCTTCTGATGCAATCATGCACAGATCAGGCTGTTAGTTTTTTTTTTCCATTGCCTTTATTCTGTTTGTTCATTGTAGCATCCTCAGGCAGAAAAGCTTTGGTTCCACTGACACCGATGTCGATTAGGGTGCCATGGTCTTCAACGCTCTCCACACATCCACTCAGGACCTAATCCATGAATACAAACGTTATCAACAGTAAAAGGTTGCTGCTGAGATCCGTCATTAAAACTGCTGACACTCATTCCAGCTCACCATTCCAGGCTTCAGAGAGCTGCTGGTGAGGTGTTTGTTGACCAGCTTTGGATTGACCGAGAGCTGAATGCTGAGCGAGCCTCCTTTAGTGATGTCTAACTTGGAAACCACACATCGGAGCAACATTCCCGGCCAGAAGATTTGGGACAAAGAGCAGAAATCCTGCAAAGTCAAAGTGCAGACATGTAGCTTGCTTAAGTATTTATCCAACTTGAACATTTTAATCACAAAAGAACCATAAACTTTATTAAATAGGGATTTCATGTGATAAACCGTCACAAAGTAGAGCCAAGATTGTAAATGGTTTTCATCTTTTTTTCCAAAACATTTTAAAAGCACAGGGTTTAGTCGTATTTCGCCCGGTTTACCGCTCTGTAAAATAAAGGCCTCAGAGGGCGGTTAGTTGATGACATGATGGAGGTGACAGCAGCATGGTGTTGGAGCTGGAACCTCAGTAAAACACAACATCTGGAGGAAAATAAGCACTGCAGACGACCCTGAGCTTTTAATAGGGTGGGGATCCAATGACACCCCAGATATTATTAACACAGATATTTACAATTCCCAGGCTATAATTGCTAATTTTTGAGAAATGCATCTCACTAAATCCTAGGCGATTGCTGTTTTCAGGCATCCTCCTCCAGATTTGAGAGCAACTTGCATGCAAGGTGGTGGCAACATCATGTTGCTGCAATGTGTTTTGCTTTTTTTTTTTTTTCAGCAGGGTCAATCAAGAAAACAGCTGTTGAGAAAAAAAAGCTGGATGGAGCTAAATACTGGAGAAACTTAAACTATGTTCACACTGCAGGCCTTGATGCTCAATGCCAATTTTTTTGTGAAATCCGTTCACATTTCCAAATATATGCGACTTGTATCTGATCTCCTGTGTGAACTGCAGTAATACAACGCAAGTGTCCCGCATGTGCAGTAGAGGAAGCAATGACATCACAGGCCAGCGTGCTCCGTGTTTACAGAAGTAAACACGGCTGGTAGCCATCATCATTCTTTTCAATATGGTTAAACATAAATACTACTCTCCGCATCATCATCTGCCATAGTTGTTGTTTTTCTTGCTGCTTCTGCGTAGTAAGACGCAGAATAGTGACCTTTGTCGGGTGTTAATGACGTTCAGTTCGGATGAATGCGACCTGGCCGTTCAGACACAGGTTGCATTTGAAAAGATCAGATTCGTATCGGATTCAGGACCACATAGCCAAGTGGCCTGGGTCGCATTGGGAAAAAAAAAATCGGATCTGTGTTGTTCAGACTGCCATGAGAAGATCAGATCCAGGTTGCATACGGGCCAAAAAATCGGATTTGGGTCACTTCAGGCTGCAGTGTGAACATAGCCTAATAGATGATGAGAACAGTTCACTTCAAGCTGGAGCTACAGTGGAGGGTCTAAAGCCGGGCAAACACTGTGCCCGGCACTCAGCTACAGCTCAAACTGTACGACAAAACTGCGGGGTTTAAAAGTTTACAGCTCATGATGCCTGTTCTCACACTGTGTGGCACGACGCTCTGATGCGACCTTATGACGGCCGACTGAATTTCAAATATGTTTGATTTTCTCCCAAGCTTACCATTCCTGATCGGGAGGTGGTTTTGAGAGCCTGATTGCCCCTCGTTAACCCCCCCATACATTACATGACGCCCGATGAGGCTGAAAGTCGACCCAATCGAAAAATTCACGCACAACTGGAGAATCGTCCCGAAAAGGGCAAAAATCATACAGTGTATGCCCGGCTTATAAGGGTTTGGGATTTCCATGCGTTAGAATGAATGAAACCAGACCTAAATCCTATTCAAAATATGAGGTGCAAAAGACTAACACCTCAAAACACTTCAGCTAAGCTTGACAAACTTTGCAAAGAAGAACGAGAAACTATTCAAGATTGTAGGAGTTTAAAACCAGTTCAGACGGACACCACAGACTTGAGCTGGAATTGCTAGAAAAAGGTGGTTCTACAAAGTACTGACTCAAGGGGGTGAACAGAGACGTTTATCACAATGTTCAGTATTTCGTTTGCGAAATAAATCCTAAAGTTTTGTCTAGGTTTTCCTACACTTTCCAGTTCTTTGCTATTTTATGTTGATTTATCTTGCTTAGGACTGTTAAAACATATAGACCTCTGTGCTTGTACTAAACAAAGAAGTTTGAGAGGAAAGAAAGCCCTCTACATCTCTGAATGTTGCAGGTGTTGGAGAATTGTGGACCGATCAACTCTTCTGTTCAGATTGGTTACCTCAGTATCCACATCTGAATCCAGCTGCTCGCTCAGCAGCTTGGTGTAGGAGTCGCACACATTCCTGATGCTGAGGAAGCCCAGCAGGCCGCAAGGGAGGCTGACCGTCACCTCAAAGTCAGTCACCTCCTTCACACAGCCTAGAAACAGCATCCCCACTCTCACGTTCTGCATTAAAGAAATTGCAGGATTTTACTTAGCAGAAAAAAATAAAATAAAATCAACATTTAACTCTAACTGATGGGAACGTTTAGTACCTTTATGTGCAGAATCTCCACAATTTTGCCAGCAGTGTTTAGTGTCAGGCCATCTTGTTTCTCATCTGTCTTTTGCTTTTTCAGGCCATCATTCTTGGCACCTCCTTTTCTTTTCTTTGTAGCAGTTTGTTCATCTGACTGTAAAAGGAATTAAAACACCAGATGGGTTATTGCTACTGATCAGAAAAGTAATCCAGGAAGACTTTAGATAAACAAATTTAATTACCTTAAACAGGTTGTCCACTTTATTTCGCTCCACCGGGACCTTACTCTCTGTGGTCTTCTTTGTTGTGCCTCCGCGGGGAAAGTCCTCCTCTAGAGACGCCATAATGGATTCAGTTTGTGGTTCCTATTATTTGGAGCTGCACACACAAAAACAAAAAGAGCCAAAATTATGAACATTCAACCACTTCAGTTTATTTACTTTTAATATTATGAAAGTTGAATTTTTATTTGACAAACTTCTGCTCCATCAACAAGCACATTTTCATAACTTAGCAAAGTAATTCAAGGCTGAAAGTTGTTTAGATCCATTACACACACACACACACACACACACACACACACACACACACACACACACACATATATATATATCTAAAACAATCAGATTATTGAAATAATCAACTACTTTAGTATCAGGTATAGAGTGAAAAACATGCCTTTAGCTGTCAGAGCCACCCACTTAGAGCAGCAATTATATCATAACAAAATATGTAAACATTTTGCATTTAAGATTAAAAAATGTTTTCGTCTATCAATATGCTCTATCCAGAGGTCCTCAAGTGGAAAAGTTTTAGTTTCAACTGGTTTAATTTTGTAAAAAAAAAATCTTCTTTGAGGAACCTTTGGCTAGCTGATTATTAATAAATGAATCAAAAAAATAATCTACAGATGAATCCATCCATTTTCTGACCCGCTTAATCCCAAGTGCCTATCTCCAGCTGTGTACAGGCGATGTGCGGGGTCCACACTTGACAGGTCGCCAGTACATCACAGAGACAAACAACCATTCACACACAACCTCACACCTAAGGACAATTTAGAGAAGCCAGTTAACCTAACAGTCATGTTTTTGGACTGTGGGAGGAAGCTGGAGTACCAGGAGAGAACCCACACATCTACAGGGAGAACATGCAAACTCCATGATGAAAGACCCCTACAGATTAATCAATTTGCAAAATTGATTAATCTGTTGATTAACCAGATTGATCAATTTGCAAAACAATGGTTAGCTGCAGCCCTAATATATATGTATATACATAGTTTAGTGTTTATGTTGATGATAATAGTTTACAGCTAATGAAAACCCGATGCTCAGAGAATCTGATCACAGATACAATGATAAGTATAAGTAAAAATAAATCATTTCATATATTTCATAAAAAGGGTACACAATATTTCAGAATAACATAGCCTTCTCGAAGTTTATGATTTATCAATTTGTTTCTCCTTAAGCATTGTTTGAAATCGATTACGTTAAGACATGGATGAGGGATGATGAACCACAAATAAAATCGCTTTAGTTTAGTTGATCCTAATTGTTTCGTGGTCTGTGGCAACACAGTCCAAGCTTTTTAATCTTTAAACATAAAAAAATGCCAAACTGAGAGCAAACTAAATAACTAAAACAAAGCTTTAAAGGGGTAAACGTCTTAAAAAGCCCCCATTCGGCATCGATTTGGAACAGTCTAAATGAATTAATATCAACAAGCTAACCTCTCAAACTATACTCTACCTGACTTAAGATAACTATGTAAATATAATAACTGAAATCTTCCTGATATGTACGTTTATATAATCCCAGACTTAGAAATGCAGTAACTCACATGTTGGTCAGCAACACGCCATTATTCTGACCCGGAAAATAAACTTATCGGGGCGGTCGTTGTACTTTCCAATCACAGTGGAGAATCGATTACAGACAACTCGCTAAACCAATCAAAACTCGCCTTTGCTCTACGAACGGAGTGACCTTGTTTTAAACCAATAGGAAACCCCCGCTGGAACACTCAGAGTGGGCGGGACTTCCGGGAATCTTTAGCATTGCGGCCTCTGTTGAAGGGCACTTGTCTCGTTCAGCTAGCACAGGGGTCGTGTGTCAAAGGTAAGCTATTACAAGTTTAGACTTTAGTTTTTTATGCTCCATAACACGTGAGAAGAGTACAATTTTACTTTTTTAAAATCCGTTTCTGCTTTGACCCTGTGGTTTGTTAACATCCTCACAAAAGTCAGTTTAACTCAGTAGCTAACGCACAAAGCTAACATTGACTTCACCTACTATGCTAACATGTATTTCAGCTGCAGATCGCTCAATTACATTATTTATTGCTTAGACTGAGGATACTCGGAATTAATCGGTATAACAGTTATATATATTCGATGGATTTTTATTTTTTTTAATCTACAATCGGTAATGCACAGGGTTTGCATTCATTGTTTAGGCTTTGCAGGGTTTTTCTTTTTCAGGAAAGATTCAACTTTCTTTCATTATATATTCTTTGATTTTGAGAGTTTATTTGATTATACTTTTAATTTATTTAAATACTTCTTTATTTGATTTTTTTATTCAGCATGACATAAACTGTGTTATCTTTTATGTATATAAATATCACCTTAATTTATTAAACTTAAGAGTAGCATGTCTTCTAACCCTAGGTAAATTATTACAAATTCCTGCATTCAGGAATAGACATCCTCTGTATTTAGTAACACTGAGTAGAAATGCCACAGTATTGCAGAAATATAAACTCTAATTGAATATATCAGAATACTATTTAGGTATTTCCTTATTTCAGCAACTAAGCTCCCACGGTGGAACAAATCATTCAGCTTGATTTCCACAGACCTTTTTTGATACTTTTATCTCTGTTAATAGTGACTTTCCGATCCAGGTTATGAAAACATGATATTTAAGATTAGAATATTTAGAAGCCAATAAAAAAGATACAGAAATGTGAGACTCCTTCACCACAGCATAACAGAACTCTAGAAAGAATTGTGTACCTAGTGTACGCCTACATATAATAATTACTGAGCCCTCAAGATTAAGGTATTTTACAGACTACCTGTGAGAAAATATTTCTAATGAAATATTTTTTTGCAATAATATTTTTCCATTATCTTGCTAAATGTGTTAAGTTATAAGCCTGTATCCTGTCTGTACATCTTAGGCTGAGGTTTTGAAGTTTGTGTTTTAGGCACATTGTATTTGATGAGTCGATGCTGGCAGTAAGTATTGTTTAGCAAAGTGGTGCTCTTGATGTGTTCTGCTAATATAGTGATGGACTAAATACTGTAGCTAATATTGGAATAATTTATCTGTATCAGAAAAGATATTGAAGAAAATTGAAAATAAAGTTAACCCCTTTATGGGCATCTCACTTTGATAAATACACTCAGGTTGAACCCTTAGTTATATTTTCTGGATGGGTTAGTCTTGCCAACATGAACTTGTTTTTATCTGTCGTTTCTGATCTTTATAGTAACCACAATTTGTCTTTTGTGATTAATCAAGCGTATGTATGATCATACATATAATTGTAGGAGTTTGTGACTTAAAAAAAAAAATCAACAGTTATAACATTAAAGCAAACAGCTGCGGTATCGGAAATATCAATTCAGGTATTAGATAAAAAGTGAAAAAAATTGAGGTCGGGTCCATCCCCATTTTTGATTTTGAGAAATAATTTGCTCCAGCTATTGTATGCCAAACATTTGTGAAAATACAGTTTTGATTCAATTTTAGGGGTAAATAAAATATCCAGGTGGTTTCTGTAACATCTACTTATTTGTTTGTGACAGGACCATACATTTAGTCAGAATGGGAGGACACGATGCTGGAAGTCAGCACCAGTTCACTGGAATTGCCAGATACTTCAATTCATACACGATCACTGGAAGGAGGAACGTAAGTTCTGTTAATGTGTTTAGAAGTAAAAAGCTTTGGACTATAATTCTTGAAGCAAGCTGAGCATTTAGTAGACAATCAGCTGAAGGATACAATCCGTTTAATTGTACTACTTAGCATTGTATTTATTTTTTTGTTTTAGTGTGTTTTGGCCACATATGCCAGCCTTGCTGCCATCTTCCTTTTCTTCAAGTTGAAGCCCAAGAAACAACCTGCCGTCACAGACAAGTAGTTATGTAAGTAGATTTAGCTCTTTCTTTGCAACCAGCTGTTTTTCTGCCCAAATGACTGAAAGTTGCTTTATTTCTTTGCCAGGTTTCCATTTGATCCTCGTTTCTATCTGCTTGGAGCGGAGAGAGCAGCTGGACATGCTTGTAATAAAAAATGTGTGGTTGGTTTCCTCATGTAAACAATAAAGGTGTATGCTCTGAACATAGAAAACACTTTTTTATTTACAGTGTGCGTCAGTATAAAAAGAATATGTTACAAAGATGAAAGCCATGTCTTGAGGTAAACTGAAATTATGGCAGTGATTTATTAAAAGGTCCATTAGGCAGTTTTAACTGCAACAGTTAGCCTTGTTGTGTGGGTACCTGTTTTGTCAACCAGTTACTACTACCTTGTCTGTCTGTTTGCCACAAAATAAACTGATGAAGTGTTTTATTTGAACAAGATGCGGAGCTTTAAATGATCCCACTCATGGTCCAGTCCTGTTATGGATTATATGCTCCTGCAGCCAGAAGCAGGTTTCTCCGTGTGAAGTGAAGGTGTATTACAGGAGTCGATTTAGTCATGTAGGTGCCTAACAAAAGCTCCTGGGAGTTATCCTGGAGATGGATGTGTCCCGTAGCTGCAGTGAAGTCGTCAGTCTCTAAATCATCAAATGCTTTCATGGCATCCCACAGGCGAACAGTGTTGTCCATAGAACCTAGAATGAATCAGACTCTGATCACTTGAGGCCTTAAAACCATTGCTGCTTTATCCTAGTATGCAATAGATTTACAGTATAAAGATGTAGAGCACCCACCGGAGGCGAGGATTTCTCCATCCCTACTGAATCGGAGGGAATAGATGGTATCTGTGTGGCCTTTGAGCTCTCCAACCATCAGTCCATGACCAATGTCCCACAAAAGGACTCTACCATCAGTGGCTCCTGAGGCCAAAAACTTTCCGTTTGGAGAGAAAGCCAAGGCGTGGATTGGACCCTGGTGGATTGAGAGAAAATTATTTTATTTCAAACAGGAGCTCACATTTACAGATGTCAGCCAAAAACTCGACACAAAGCAACTGACACCAAAAATATCTGAGATTGGGAAAGAAGTAAAAATACTTTTTCCCATCAATTAGTTTGAACAACTGTTAATCATAGTACAAGAAAAATTACTATTCAAACATGACATGTTTATGACATGCTTTTGGAGCCATGCAGCTTTAAAATAGAGTTCAAACACCAACTAATTAAAAGTAATCAAAGGCTACACTTTGTTTCCTTGGGATCCTTTGGACTTGTACCCTTTTTTTTTTTTTGTAGGATTAATCTGCTCAACAATAAACTCCACTGAATAATTGAAAAAAACAGGAGTTTTGCAGTTTAAAAAAAAAAAAAAACATTTTGCACATGTCCCGTATTTGAAGAAAGGAACACAATGTCCTGCTGAACCCTTTTTTCTAATGTTAGAAAATGTTTTTAATGTATTCTCTGTAGCAAAAGGGAGGTTCTCTACGGAAGAGTATTAGGGCCACTGGGAAAAAAAAAAAAGTTAACTGATTTTTACATTTTATTTCAGTTTAATATGGGAAAAAAGTCAGAATTCTGACTTTAAGAGATGTGGGAGCACTCAGCTTCACTGACAAAGATTGGGTTGTTTGGGAGGGCCGGTAACACATTGGTGGAAAATAACGGAATTAGTTGACTTTTTATATGCCCAAGGGGTCCCTGGTGATGCTATTTCATTAATGAAAGAGCAGAAGGTGATTAAAACAATAGAGCCAGTTTAGTCTCTAAAACAGACATGGCTACACCTTGATGCTAACATGTTTGTAAACTGTCAGAATTCTTAGATTAAAATAAAAATGTAAAAATCAGTTAACTTTTTTTTTTCTCCCCAGCGGCCCTAATCCTCTTCCGTAGTTCTTTCAAAAATCACCCGTTTTTCTTTTTAACCAAGTTCAATGAATGGTATAAGCTTTGCTAGATGCTTGTGCTTTTAGTTCAAATCAAATCAATGAAAATTTAAACCTTAAAAGTGTCTTGTCCACATCAGCTGGCTTTTCTCGTGGAAAATTTTATTTTTAAACTTTAAACCACATAGTGGTCCACAGAAACATCCTAAGGTATCAAATGGCACCCAGACTGACTCTTTTAGGCTCCATTTATAAAAAAAAAAAAAAAAAAACATTACAGGAGAAAGTTGCAATGATACTTTTCTTGTTTTTTAGTGTTTTATATCAGATGGCAGGGAAAATATTGCATGTCCTTTGCTAGTGTAGAAAAGCATTTATTGTTTTGCCTCGCCCCCAACTGTTTGAGGAATTAAGCCTTTTTGGGATTTTTTAATTCTCGCTTAGGAGACGCATTTGGCTGTTTGGAAATATGTACTGAGCATCGGTATTATGGAAAGTAAAGGAGCCTCACTCATCCATGCATTGGTTCCCTTACACAGGGCCAGAATAATGAAACTAGTCAATGAAAACTAGTTTATGGATGTTATAAATGTAATAATTAACATTACTATTTAAGAAAGCAGCAGGAATCATAATTGTTCTGTTTTAAATTTAAGCAATTTGACCATGTTCTGCATTTCTGTACTCATGTAAGTGAATAGAGACAATGAGAACACTTCCTTTTTTGTTTTTTAAGTAATGAGACGAAAAATGGCAAATATTCCTGCTAAATCTAACCTTATGGCCGGTGAAAATACGGACGCAGTTTCCAGTGAGGACGTCCCACAGACGGATGGTGCGGTCAGAAGAACCTGTGGCCACATAATTGGCGTTGGGGTGGAAGCGAGTGCAAGTGACGTCGGCCAGGTGGCCAGCAAATATCCGCAGAGGCTGGTGGTGATCTGTTGCCCATAAGCTGGGAGAGAAAACACAAAGGAAATATTTCTATAGATCTGGCACCACTGGCTGAACTACATGTTTCAAAAATGCCTTCCAGGCTGTCTTACCGGGCAACCCGGTCGTGTCCCCCTGAGACAAAATAATACCCATAAGGGGAGAACTGGGTGTCCCATACTGGGTAGTTGTGGCCTTTGTATCCCACCAGACAGGTGAATGTTAGAAGGCTCCACAGCCTGACTGTGCCATCTTCAGAGCTCGACAACACGTAGTTTCTGAGAAGGAAAAGTTAGCGTGATTTTTTTCCCCAATATAAAAACAAACCACAGAAAATATACTAATTTGTTTTTACGATACAATACAGCATTTGCAAACCTAATATTAAGGTCTGTACTCCAATAAATAACACAATCCAACAATAGGAACAGAAAATAATCCTCTAAAAAATGGCAACTGTGTTGTAATTTCGACTTTTTGTATTTTTATAATACTGTGCAAAGATTGGCAAAAGTCTTTAGTCATTCCTAATTTTTCTCTATTTTGTCTTCAAGGTGCCAGCTTTTCTTTCATCCTTTGCTTTCTAGTTGTTCCTAGTTGTCAGATTGCTGGTAAATGACTGATATCCACTGGATGAATTTTTTGTTCTAGCATTAATCACAGCTATAATACACACATAAGAAACATGGATAAAGACAACTTTAAAATGCCCCTAGTGGAGGAGTTTAAGTATCTTGGGATCTTGTTCACGTATGAGGGGGAGATGGAGCGGGAGATCAACAGGCTGATTGGTGCGGCGTCTGCTGTGAAGCGTGCGCTGTACCGGTCTGCTGTGGTGAAGAGAGAGCTGAGCCAAAAGGCAAAGCTCTCAATTTACAGGGCGATCTACGTTCCTACCCTCATCTATCCTCATGAGCTTTGGGTCATGACCGAAAGAACAAGATCCCGTATACAAGTGGCTGAAATGAGTTTTCTCTCTCATGTTCTCTGGTGAGGTATTCCAGGCACGTCCTACCAGGAGTGGGCCAAGAGGGAGAACAAGGACACGCTAGAGGGACTATGTTTCTCGGCTAGACTGGGAATGCCTTGGGATTCCCCTGGAAGAGCTGGCCCAAGTGGTTGGGGAGAAGTACGTCTGGACCTCCCTACTGAAGCTGCTACCCCTGCAACC